TCATGAGGACTTATTGTATTTCCGTAGGACAGGTCATGAGGACTTATGGGTACCCGTCATAGGATAGGCCTTAAGGAATTGTGGATATTATATAGGATAGGCGATCATGGCTTATGAGTACACTCATAGGATTTCCCTAAAGCATTGATCGATAACCCATAATATAGGCTTTGAGGACTTATGTGTACTTCCATAGGATAGGTCTTGTGGAGTTATGGGTGCCCATATGATAGGCGATGATAACTTATAGATACTCTCATAGGATAGGCATTGAGGACTTATGGCACTTCCATAGAATTCGTCATTAGAACTTATGGGTTTCCTATAGAATGCATCGTTTTCCCGGGATTCTCATGGTGCTGCTTGGATTTCAAGGATTTCCATTGTGCTTATAGGGATGTGGAACTTGTGAATTTATTCCCTAATCGAGAAACCCTTTACGAATCTCCGGGGAGTCCCCAAGAAAAATCCCCGGGGACTCACGACAGGAAGACCCCGGGAATTTACGAGGCAGTCAAGAACTCTCCGCGGATTTACGTGGGAGTCCCTGAGGATTTGCAGAGACTCCCCAGAAATATACCATGAGGCTTACGACGACTGTAAACGATCGTATACGACGTTTTTATCATAATATCTACCCCTAGTGAAATCTCATTATAAAGTGTCCCTCGAAATCTCCGGGGAATCACGACAGGTACTCCCCCAGGGATCGAGGGGAGTTTGGGACTCTCCATTGATTCATTTGGGGACTGTCGACTAGGGACCTTTTCTCATATGTGTAGCAGCCTTTAAAACTGGTTATCTATGTCCGACGCACGTGAAAATATGATCAGAGTATGTTGTTGAAGACTACTTTAGATTTTGGGTTTTTTGGATTTTTTTCAGATTTTTTCAGATTTGTTGGAATTTTTGGGATTTTTTCAGATTTTCTCAGGTTTTTTTGGATTTGTTCGGATTTAAAATCCAAAAAAACCCGCTTTTACCCCCTTGTCACAAATTCATTTTATCTTAAACGACTCTCTCTGCAGTGGACGGATTAAGTCATATAACAACGCATATAAAATGAGACTAAGCAAGTTCTCAAAGAGAGATTTATTAGAGCACGCAGATTTTCTTTAATTGGAGTCTTTGAAAGTCTTTAGAAATCTTTGGGAATCTTTAGAAATCTTTAGAAATCTTTAGAAATCTCTAGAAATCTTTAGAAATCTCTAGAAATCTTAAGAAATCTTTGGAAATCTCTAGAAATCTTTAGAAATCTTTAGAAATCTGTAGAAATCTGTAGAAATCTTTGGAAATCTTTCAGAATCTTGGAATCTGCTTTTTCCCTCTTGCATAACATAGACGACTGAATAACCAATCAATAAGGTTGTTTTTTATAAACACATTGTTATCTATTAATAGAGTCCTCATAGCAATGATTTTTATTATGTCTGTTTTTGTATTTCCGTTTCATTTATGTCAGCTGATTCAAGGATGATATTTATGTATTCACTAATAAAAAAATGAAATATTCACAATTGAAAAATAAAATTTTTTAAACGTTGTTAATTACATCCAATCATTGATTGAACACCTGACAGTACAATTTGTCTTGATCAAATAACTGGATTGAGTGATGAAACTGGAGGTTAAAAAAAATACTGTGTATTGAAGTATTACTAGAAGTTCAATGAACATTTCGGTCTTGAGGACAAGATGCCAGTCCATTGTTTTTTTGTATATTTTATTTTTATTGAGCTTTTCTAATAGAGGTAGTCTATATCAATACAGATTCTCAAATCAAAAAAAATTATAACCTACTAAAATATATTTTTTATTATCCTACAATAAAGTATCGTTCTTTAATTCTATTAAGATTATATATAAATTACACTTGTTGATCGACTATCTCATTACTTAGTCATGAACAAAATATACGATTAATCATTATTAACTCATTAGCTGCACTTTTTCGTTCGGTAAATGTATCATTTCAACATCATATGAAACCAAATAATGTTTTTCCATTAGACAGATGATTGATGTTTTTTCTTATTAAGCATAATATTTCCTCCTTCATTTGATTTTATAATACGGCTAGGTTTCTATGTTGAATAACATCTTCTTGAAACAATATATTGAATACGATTCTTATGTTGATCTATTTCTTCCATATGTAAATCATATGGACTTTGTCAAATTATCGAAGGAACGAAAAAAAGAACGAAAAAGAAAAAAAAATAACGAATCCAAAGACAGAGAGATTGGAAGGAATTAAGATTTGTCGTTTTCCATCTTTGTCCGATGCATTCTTTTTTCTTTTCTTTTCGTTTTTTTTTCGTTCCTCCGTTAATTTGACAATGTCCATATGATGTACATATGGAAAAAGTAGATCAACGTAATAGTTGCTTTCAATCCATTGTCTCAAAATATATATAAGTGTTTCATGTACGCGCCAATACAAATTGAAATTGTTAGATTTCTTCTAATTAATTATTCTCATCATGTCATTTGATCAAATAACACTTGCAAGTTGCACAAATTGTTAAATATTTCATCGTGAATTTCTATACTCAATACAACAAGCAAGTAATATTTTTCCTTCACTTCTAACATTTTCGTTAATAGTTTCAAGATCAATGCTATAGCTTCAACCAATAATATGTTTTCTAAAAGACCTTCGACCTAAGTTTAATAGAGCTTACTAAATATTTTTCTTTGATATTGAAGATCTACCAATACATTCCTACACAAAACATATCCTCTTCGCAAAAAAATTCAAACCATCCTTGCATATATTCTTCAGAAAAACGAAACAATAACTCTAAAAAATATTTGCCTATTTTTTTTTACTCTATGCAACCCTTAAAGTATATCATCCACAAAAATAAACTCTATACAAATGTTTTTGTTCTTTGAAACTATGTTTCTGCACGTAAACATATAAGGTCCAAAATAAGAAAACATTTTTATAATATAAAACAGAAACAATCGATCCAATTGCCAATTTTTATCCTTACAGAAAAATAGAAAATTTCACAAAAAACGTATTTTCACTGTAACCAAAAAACATTATTCTAATAAAAAAAACTGCTCAAAGTAATAACGGGTGGATCGAAAGTTTTCGCACAAAATGTTTGTTCATTTTTGGCCTGCTTGAAAGTATTTCAGATGAGTCAAAAACTATGGGTTAAGACCAGAATTTTGTGCTCTTTCCGAATATGTGCTCATAAATTTTGTGTCTGTTTTTGCTCGAGAGTAATGAGGAAATCTTGGAAAGGCCTAAAAAATTGGTTTGGACGGCGAACAAACAGGTTTTTGCTAACCCTCATAAGTCTCTTTGCGAAGGTGCTAAAAATTGTCAGAGTCGGTAATTTTGTAGAGTGGACACTTCTTTACAAAATGTGATATCAAACTAAGCCGTAGCTTATACCCAAGTGAAGCTATTAGCATTTTCTCGGGAGCTACTTTCGATGTAAAACGCCCTTTCGTCAAAAAATCGATTCTTCAAAAATGAGGGTGATAGGAAAACGAAAATTTAGATGCCTTATCTGAAGACAAAAAGAAACTCAAATAGTCCATTTTGTAGAGCAGATTTTGCTCTACAAGCTGATATATCAACAAAAGTTCCAACTTTTGGTTTCGGATCCCAATACTGAAAATACGAAAATGTACGGAAAAATTTTTCGTCCAAACTAATTTTTTAGGCCTTTCCAAGATTTCCTTATTACTCTCAAGCAAAAACAGACACAAAATTTATGAGCACATATTCGGAGAGAGCACAAAATTCTGGTCTTAACCCATAGCTTTTGACTCATCTGAAATACTTTCAAGCAGGCCAAAAATGAACAAACATTTTGTGCGAAAACTTTCGATCCACCCGTTAAATAATAAATGAAGAGTGGAATTTTAAGAAACAAATATTTTTTCCTAAATTCGCTTTCTAAATCTGCCATGTTTTGCAAAATAAAACTTGCTAGTTAAGAAAAATACTTAAACATTGATTTACAAATCTGAAACAACAAAAAATATTGCATTCTGTTATATAATAAATTACTTAAAACATCTGCTTTCTTATTGCTTCGAAGACAAATAATATAGTTCCAATTAAGTTTAAAATTTAAATAATAAATAACAATCTTTTTTTAGTCAAAATAATGGCTACTAATTATTCAAATAATGATACAATAATAGGCTACACCACAAATGTTTCAAACGAAAATAAAAAAAAAAATTTTCGTCAAGTTCACGTTGTTAACTGAAAATAATGAAGTAATTGATGGTTGGGTTTTTAGTGGTGTACCTGGTATTCTGTCAACACCACTTGGTTTAGCTTTGAGCAATTCATTAAAAAATAAAACTATTATAAAGTTATGGGGATCACTTGAAAACAATAATAGTAAGTGTAGCATATTGTAAATATTGAGTTATGGAAATGCAAATTGAACTAATATAGCGAAAAAAATTTTTACATGAAAGATAGTTTTAACAAATATTTAATAGAAAAACAAACAAATACGTACTAGATGCACAAACACGTGTTTAGTTCAATAGATACGAAAGAAAATCTATGAAATTCATACACAGACAAAGTCTACTGAAAAAGTCCTTATCCAATCATAAGCATTGAAAAAAGAACTTGATTAATTTTTTTTTAAACAAAAAAAATTAAAAGAAAAACGTAGTGTTTACGATAAGATTTTGTAACTAATATATTGATAAAAACATTTGAAATGTAGGTCATAAAAAACACAAATCTATACTATTTGGTATAATTAACGAAATAATATTTAACATACAATTTATTTAGATACATCAACTTTTTGTATGCAATCATGGTCAAAACATCAGTTGATGAATCTTAATTTTTATCTTCAAGGGTCTTTAAATAATATTACATCTGTAAGAAATGCATTAGCAAGTAATGAATCAAATACAATACGTATATCAATCATTGATATTCGTCCATCAGAAAACTTTACAAGTCAAGGAATAATACGTACATCAACATTTATATTAGTTGGGGATGAAACGGGTACATGTTATTTATTAGCAATTAATTTAATTACCAACTGAAATTGAAATAGAAAAAACATATGATGTTACTAAAATACGTAGAAAATTTTAAAATGGATCATATGTGCTATCAACTACGGTGGATACAAGTATTTCATTATCCAACACGGTAAACAAAAATTATATTTAATAGCTTATTTTATAAGAAAAAATGTTTATTTTTTTTTCTCAGTCAGTAACACCTAACGTTCATGATGTGGAACAAACATTGAGTATGAACTTAAACGATCGAAAAACAATCATAACAACTATACAAGAAGTGGGAGAAATTCAACGAATATATAAGTGTTCAACATGTCAAGGTAATTTAAATGAAGTAACAAGTGCAGCAGCATTATTATTTTGCGAAAAATGCCATCGACATGTCTTGAAAGCTAATGTTACATTACACATTGCAACTGCAATAGTACTTAAATAAGGTATATTTTGTGAATTTTTATTTTTTTAAATATATAATTTTAAAATAAAAACATAATTACATTCAGATGAAGAAAACATTATTTTGTTTGTCAACGATCAAATACGTTATCACTTGCTTGATATTATTGGTGTAACAATTAATATGTCTAATACAGATATAGCAATAGCTATGATGTCCAGTACCAACTTAGTATTTGAATATAGCGAGTTGCGCAAAGAACTACTTGAAATTAGAAAAACAAATTAAAATAATAATAATAATAATAATAATAATACTAAAAGTATGTTTTTTATCATGTAATATTTTCAATTTATAATAAATAATTTTTTTAACTATTAGAAACAACAAAAAAAATTAACCTTTGCAAAAAATTAATCAAGATTCTATTTCAAAATTGAAAAAAAAGAGTTTCGTATATCAACAGTTTTTTCTCAATATGTATTCTCTTTCTCGTAGAGAAGAGTCTTACAAACATAAATTCTCTGCTTGCTTGATTGATTGCTTGCTTGTATGTCCGCAGTGTCAAAAAAACATAAGGGTTGACCGAAGGGTAATCGGGGTCGAGGAATTCAAATCTGATGTTAGTTTTAATTAATTAATTAATTAATATTAACTAATTATTAACTGATTATTAATTATTAATATTAGCTACAAAACTTGACCAAAGAGTAATCGGGGTCGAGGAATTCAAATCTGATGTCAGTTTTAATTAATTAATTAGTTAATTATTATTAAGTAATTATTAACTGATTATTAACTGATTATTAATTCTCTTTCTCGTAGAGAAGAGTCTTGCAAACATAAATTGTCTGCTTGCTTGATTGCTTGTATGTCCACACTTCACTGAATGGTCGAACAATATGAAAATGCAGGAAATTATTTTTTCCATAAAACCTGACCAAAGGGTAATCGAGGGCGGGGAATCCGAATGTGAGGTCAGTTTTTATTAATTAATTGATAATTAATAATTAACTGATTATTAATTATTAGTTATTAATTTTTTTCATAAAACTTGGCCAAAACGTAATTAAGGGCGGGGAATCGAAATCTGAGGTCAGTTTTTATTAATTAATTAATAATTAACTGATTATTAATTATTAATTTTTTCCATAAAACTTGACCAAAAGGTAATTCAGAGCGGAGAATCAGAATCTGAAGTCAGTTTTCATCGATTAAATAGTAATTAATTATGACTTGGTTCTAACTATGAATATTTTATAAAAAAAAGTTGGCCACAGATATTCGAGGTAAAACCCAGAAACTATCATCGATGATGAGATTTAGGTGGCAAGAGTAGCGGATAATAAAATTTACTAATCTCATCAGTGTTGGAAAACAATCAGCCCAAATTTCTGCTCAGAATGCTAAACTCAAACGTGTAGATAGATGCACTTGGCAGAATAATGCAGTGTGAATGTGCTGATTTCGAATAGTGGAACCACGTAAATAAGCAATTTGTTAACAGTTTAGAAACAGCACTTCTACGAGAAAGAGCTAAACGAGTCCACAGACGAGCGCTACTTGTTAGTATATCGTATAGCAATAATAAAAAAAAATAGTTAAATAACAAAATAAATTTAACATTAATAAATTTATTTCAGATTAACCAAAAATTTGACTCTGGAATTTTCTAAAAAAAATGGAAACATCAGCATCGACGGCATGCATCTCAACAGAAAAAACTACATCAAATTCTACTGTTATTGGTAATACGTTTTTTAAATCTAACATCTTCTTTATACATTTACTTCATATTATAGAAAAAGATATACCTGGTAAAGTTTTTAGTATTAATAAAATGAAACATTATGCTTTTATCAGAAGGTTAGTTTTAATTATAATCATTCATAAACGGTCTATCTAATTTAGAACTGATAACAACTCACATCAAGATATATTTGCTCGTGATATTTCAATAATAAAAGTTGAACATAAACCAGCTTTTTTCATTTCTGATTTATGTACATTCGATATAATAAAAAGTAGGTCAAATAAAGTGAGCTCCAAACTGCGAAAACTCCAAATTTGGAGCTCACCTACGCCTCCACGTTTTACTCATTGACCTCAGTTCAAGTTATAAAGGTCACGCTTCAAAACTAAGCTCCGATCTGTGTAAACTGAACATTTCGAGTTCAATTAAGGGTTCACCTGGGATGCTAGTAGCATTACCTGGGATGCTAGTAGCATTACCTGCGATGCTAGTAGCATTACCTGTAATGCTAGTAGCATTACCAGGGAAGCTAGTAGCGTCACCCAGGATGCTAGTAGCATCGCTTGGGTTGCTAGTAGCGTTACCTGGGAAACTAGTAGCGTTACCTGGGGTGCTAGTAGCATCACCTTCGATGCTAGTGCCATCACATGGAATGCTATTACCATCACCTGGGATGCTAGTAGCATTACCTGGAATGCTATTACCATCACCTGGGATGCTAGTAGCATTATCTGAGATGTTAGCATCTTTACGTGGGGAGCTAGTAGCAGCATCTATGTTGCTAATAGCACCCCACGAAATGCTGCCAGCGTCCTAGGAAATGCTAGGGTTGGAAAGTTCCTGTTACCCGGGGACGGTAAAGGGCAGTTACTAGTTCCCGGGGAACGGGCCTAATATAAGGTGTACCATTAGGTCCTCAACTCTCATACTATGGGTGCCCTTAGGTCTTCATGCCCTATACTGTGGAGATACCCTTGGGTCACTAAGTCCTCTTAATGAGGCGTACCCCTGGGCCCTCAAGACCCACACTATAGGGACACCCTCGGGTCGTCAAGTTCTGTAGTACGGGAGTACCCGTAGATGTCCTAGTCTTATTATTGCGGGGTACCTTTGGATCCTCAAGGACAAATGCCAAAGCTGTATTTTCGCCGTGTTGCATTGAGTTGGAGCCCATACATATATCCATCAAAACGATAGAGCATCTTCGATAACTCTATCATTGGCCCGAACATGGCTGAGTGTTGCCCTTACAATAAGAGAAAAAAGGGCTTCTGAAATCTGATTGGTCTATTTTTGGACCAATCATGTGCCAGGATCTTATTTCTCAGTGATAGGATGGGTGGGGACCCCCACACATACCCATCGATCGATAGAGCATCCACGATAACCCTATGGTTGGCCCGCACATAGCTATATGTTGCCCTTACAATAAGAGAAAAAAAGGCTCATGAAATCTGATTTGACTATTTTTGGGACCAATCAAACGACAGGATTCTATTTCTTGGTGATGGCATGGATGGAGACCCCCATATATACCCATCACTCGATAGAGCACCCTCGATAACCCTAAATTTCGCTCAAACATGCCTATCACTTTCTCTCACAATAAGGGAAAAAAATCTGAACCACCTCAGGCACCCACAGTAATAGGACTTGAAGAGCCATGGGTAGTCCCCAATAGAATAGGACCTGAGTATATAAGGGTACCCGTCAATAGTAGGACTTGAGGACCCACGGGTATCCTCCAATAAAAGAACTTGAGGATTCAAGAGTACCCCTATAATATAGGCCTGGAGGACCCAAGGGTACCTCCATTGTATCCCAAGTGATGCTACTAGCATCCTAGGTGATGCTACTGGCATCCTAGGTGATGCTACTAGCATCCTAGGCGATGCTACTAGCAGCCGAGGTGATGCTACTAGCAGCCGAGGTGATGCTACTAGCAGCCGAGGTGATGCTACTAGCAGCCGAGGTGATGCTACTAGCAGCCGAGGTGATGCTACTAGCATACTCGATGAGAACTGTAGGATTTCAGGCGAAATAAATTTTATTGATATATAAAAGAATACATAGCAGAATTTTTCAGCTTAGAGATGGATGCGTAAGTGAGCTCCGAATTTGGAGTTTACGCGTGGAGCTCACTTCACTTGACGTAAAGAGTAAGTTATATTTTTATTGTTCCTATTAGTTATAACTGTATAGATGTTTTTTATTTCGTAGCTTCACGAGGTTTTGAAGCCATCAACATTATCATTGTAAAACGTAGTATTGATAGTATTTCAAAATTTAAAAAAATTCCAATGAAAAAAAACAATGCAAATCGTGAATCAGAAAAACGAGATTCGCTTGAACTTTTTAAATCGGCAATGCAAAAATATTTTTTCTTATTTTGTGTTATTATTTTTGTTTCTTTATTTCAGAACTCACTTATTTCGAGAAGCTTTAAAGTGAATAGACAATAATAGTACAAATTATCAATATAAACATTTGCATATTTATAAACATTATTCAATTGAAAAAAGTAGCATCAATTTCATTGTTCTGTTTCTTTTTTTTTGTCTTTAAATATTGTGTTCAAAACATGTGTGAATTAGCTCAATGTTGTAAACCTAATAAATAAAATCATAATGATGGTTACTTTACATCTTTTTATTTTGTAAAAAAATTTTTCTAATGTAGTTAATTTAGTATATATATGATACTCAAAAGATAGTGATGGGCCGTAAGACGTAAGAAGCGGTATACCTTCATTTTCATTTCGTCGTAAATTGCGACAGAACAAAAAAAAGAATAGTCGTGATATAGACGTAAAAGAAACGGCAGAACGTAAAAGAATTCTTATAAATAGCGCCGTAATGAACATAAGAC